GACAAGTAGGGGAGTAAAGTTGATAAAGGAGTCATCAATGTGCAAATTACCACCATGGGCCCCTGAGGCAGAGTCCAATGGGAGGGGGGGCCTCTGGGAGATATTTCTCAAGCATTGTCTCACCAAGGGACAAGAAAGACAGTATACTTGACTGTCATCCCTTACTATTGATTTTCATCCCTTTCTATTTCGGGGTATTAACTGTTTGGAATTTTGACTTATTCCATGCACATCACAAGTCCACTCCCATAGGCACAGATCACTCTTAGAGAGGCATGAAAGACATCAGCATCCACAGGAACTGTCCACAGGTGGACCTCTGCCAAGGGAATATGGACCATTGAGTATAGGCAACTTCGTATTAGATGAATCCACAGATTTAGCCAAAGGCTATATGTTAGAGCTCTTCAGCACTGGCTGATATTTTCGGATCTGGTTATATTTGTATTGTCCTCCATGTAGTTGTATCTTTCCAATTTGCTGGAGTCAGACACTACAATGTTCTCTCAACAGCCAGGAACAATGGACACACAGCAGGCACTTATTACTGCACAACTGATAACTGTCAAAGTAGCAAGTCAGTGCCTTCAATGTTAATCAAAGACTGGATCTAAGCCATGTGAACTGCAAAGAACCTGCCTTGGTCCAATCCAGGGAGACAGTGGCTCTGAGCCATCTCGCAATCATGAATTCCACTATTATCTTTAATCTACAGATGTACAACCACCGAGTAACTGAGCCTAGCATAGCAGAGTGGTTAAGAATGTCAAAAGGTAGTTGGGTGTGATGGCACATGCCTATAAACCAAGCTCTGGGAGGCTGAGGCAGGAAGGTCACAAATTTAAACCCAGCCCAGGCGATTTAGAGTGAGACCTTGTCTCAAAAAAGTTTAAAAATGTCTGGGAATGTAGCTCAGCATACAGGCCCTGAGTTAATCCTCAGTACTATAAAAAATGCCAAAAACAATATAATATAGATACTAATCATTCAGAACTCTGGAGCCAGAGGACCTGAGTTTGAACCACAATTCTGCACTTTGTCTTAACTGTTTGCCTAGGGCAAACTGCTTAACCTCCCTGTGCTCCAGTTTCCTCATCTGTAAAATGAGCTAATAACTGACTATTTCAAGCTGTTATTGGGTATGCTTTACAAGAGTTAGCCTTCTTAAGTCCTTAGAACAGTGGCTTGCATGTGGTGAGCACTGTCATGAAATAACATGAATCAATACCCTTATTAGAGATCTGAGAGACACCAGGGAATCCCTATTTAATCCTTTTGAGATCCTGAAACACTTCATTGAGGAAAACTTTGCCTTTGTGAGTTTTTTTGTTGTTGTTCTGGGTTTTTTTTAAATACATATACTGAGCTATATAACAACTCCCATGCTGGGAAGATAAGGAAACAAGCTCACATTGGTTAAGTGGCAAGTCAAGATCAAAACCATAGCAGGCAGGAGGCAAGGTTCTAGCCCCAGATCTCTCCATCTTTCTACTCTAGCATGCTGCCAACAGCAGTGTGTTAGCCAAGGCTTTTAAGCCAGTGGTTCTACCTTGAGGGTGCATTGGCATCACCTGGAGGACTGGCTTGCTGCCCTTCTCCTGGAGTTTTTGATTCTGCAGTGAAGGTGAGCACTAGAATCTACATTTCATTCTAAAGTGATGCCAAAGCTACTTGTGTGGCAGCCGCATTTTCAATAACTTTAAGAAACCAATACAATAATGCTCTATTTGGATCTGGACTGTCCCACAAAGGTCCATGGGTTAAAAGCTCAAGTTGATGCTATTGGAAGGTGGTAGAAAAGTTTAAGAAAAGAGGCCTGGTAGGAAGATTTAGGTCACTGGGGGCGGGTTCTTGAAGGAGACTGTGGGACACCCATCTCTTCCTCTTCCTTTTTCTTTCAGTGCCTCTTCATGAGGTGAATGGGCTTCCTATACCATTCCCAGCTAATGTATGCTGCCCATCACAGGCCCCAAAGCAATGTGATCAGTCGAGCATGGACTGAAACTTCCAAAAGTATGAGTTAAAGTAAACCTTTCCTCTTTTTAAGTTGATTATCTCAGGTACTTAGTTTCAATAATGGAAAGCTGACTAACACAGTCAAAAAGATGAAGTGAAAATACATTCATCTGCCCTAAACAACTACTCAGCTTTTCTCTACTTAGGTTTGCTTCAAAGTTCCACATCTTCCTATTTATCCATTTCTGTTTTCATCATTTTTAGATAACATTTTTCAAAAAAAACTTATTTCTAATGAACAGCATTCATTCTGATTAAGTTTTTCCTTTGTGTTCCACTACTCCTATGGTAAAAAAACAAAAAAACACCGAAACATGAAGCCAAAGATCTGGCACTTCCTAATCAATGATGTTTCCTGGGACATTTACTCATCAGTAGAGACACCTGATTTTTGCCCTGCCATTTCCACAGTAATGTTTTAATGCCCCAAAGAAATGATATGTGTGAGCATAATTTACATGAATGTTGAAAGGCCCCAACAGAATTTGTATATCTACATCAATATCTATATTTATATCTCTATATTAGAAAGCACATTGTCTTCTTGTTTTTGTCTTCCACCAGTTCCAAACAGTGCTTCTCAAATTGTGGTCTATAAACCAGTTTCCTCAGCATCACCTGAGCGTGTGTTAGAGATGTCAGTTTTCAAGTTTTGCCCCAGATCTACTAAATCACAAACTCTGGGGCAAGAGGCCCAGTGATCTGTGTTTCAAGAAGCCTTCCAAGTAATTCTGATGCATACTTATGTTTGAGAACCCTGGCCCTGTGGCTGCAAGCACAAACCCTGGAGTCAGATCCCTGGGTCAAATCCCAGCTCTATTTTCCAGGGCTGATAACCTTGGGCAAGTTACTTACCTCTCTGAGCCTATGCTTCGTGATCTGGAAAATGGAGATAATATACGATCTTTCCTTCAAAGATCTGGTTTAGAAGATAAAGATAGACAAGTGGCAAGTAAACAAGGACCTGGCTCATTGTAAGCCATCAGTACCTATTGAGTTTTTATCATTCCTTTTTTAAAAGACTGATGGCTGCTTGATTAGGAAGCCCCGCGTCCTTTCTGAAGACTTACCAATTGTGTTTAGCCTGTTGGGAAGATTCCCATTTAGTTTGCATGCAGATATGTGTATTTGTACCTGTGTGTTTAGGTTGCCATTGTTTGCTACTAGCAGATTTTTGTTTTACCCAAGGAAGATTCTTTGATCCTGTCACCCTCTCTTGAATAAGAAAAGTCTTCCTCTGTGTGTCTTTAATAATGTCTTGTTAAATAAAATTCACTTTCTAGTCTAATGCCTGATGAGTATTCTTTACATTTGTATAGCACAGTGTTCTTTTAGCAGATGTACCCCACAGAAATGGCAGCACTAGTATTGTTGGCCTTCTTATTGCCTTCTTATGTACCCTTTATTTCTTGTTTCATAAGCTTCTAAAGGTTCCTTTTTCTGAAAATACCAATGTGCTTCATTTGGCTGCTTCTGTAACACTTTTAAATTTCCATATGAAAATATCTTTAAGCAGATACTTTTGAAAATAAATCCACATATATTTGGCCAATTGATTTTGGGCAAAATAGCCAAAACTACCCAAAGGGGAAGGGACACTCTTTTCAACAAATGATACAGAGAAACCTGGATATACACAACTACAGGAATCAAGTTGGACCTTTATACCATACACAAAAATTAACTAAATGAATCAAGGGACTTAACCAAAAGAACTAAGACTATAAGTAATTTAGAAGAAAATGCAGGAGGAAATCTTCCTGACAGTGAGTCTAGTAATGATTTCTTGGATATGACACCAAAGCATAGACTACAGAAGTAAAAGCAGAAAAATTGGACTTCATTAAAATTTTTAAAAAATTATGCCTGAAAAGAACACTATTAAGAGAGTGCAAAAATGGTGCACAGAATGGAAGAAAATATTTTCAAATCATGTATCTGATAAGGAATTAACATCCAGAGTATATAAAGAAAACACACAATTCAATTTTTAAAAAAACCCAGAAATTTATCCAAAGATACAAATGGCTAATAAGCACATGAAAAGATGCCGACATCACTGATCACTAAGAACATGCAAATCAAAACCACAAGAGATGCCACTTCATACCTATCATCAAAACACAAGTAAATAACAGTGTTGTCAAGGATGTGGAAAAATTGGAACCCTTATGCCTTGCTTGTAGGAATGTAAAATAGCACAGAACTTATGGAAAATATTTGGCACTTCCTCAAAAGGTTGCACACAGAATCCCCACATGACCCAGTAATTCCACTCCTGAAAACATACCCCAGGAAGTGGAAGCGGTGAATCAAATAGATATTTGTACATAGCAACATTGTTCACAATAGCCAAAAGATGGAAATAACCTGAATGTTCACTGACTGATGAATTGATAAACAAAATGGGGAACATATATACACTGGAATATTATTAGTCTCAAAAGGAAATAAATTCTGATCCATCGCCACAACATAGAGGAACCTCAAAAACGTTATGTTAAGCGCAGTAAATCAGATACAAAAAGACAAACATTTACAGTTCCACTTATACGAGATACCTGGAATAGGCATATTCATAGTGAAATAAGGAATAGAGGCTATGAGAGTGGTTAGGGAGCTATTATTTAATGAGTATGGTTTTTAATTGGGATGATGAAAACTTTTTAGAAATGGATAGTAGTGACAGTTGCACAAAACTGTGATCATACTTAAATGCTAACAAAGTGTGCACTTGAAGTGGTTAAAATGGTAACTATGTTACGTATGATTTTTTTCCGTGTTAAAAATAATCCTAAACATGGGGCTGGGGATTTAGCTCAGCGGCATAAGTGCCTGCCTTGCAAGTGTGTGGTCATGAGTTCGATCTCTGGTACCGATAAAAAAAGAAAAAGACAAAAAAAAATCCTAAACAACATACAAAAATCCCACATACACACAAACAGATGAACAGAAAAGAAAAAGAGGGCAAAGTGGGATCTTACCTTCCAGGGATGTAACCAGGACGACATGAAGACAAATGAGGACAAGGAATATTTTGAATGTCAATGAACCTTCTTCAGGTCTGCCAAGATGGCTGCACTGCCCACCAGAGAAAAACATTCTGGAATAAAATATGGGGACAATAGATCATCACAGCTGTGATAATCACAACACAGTAATACTTGAAAGGTCATTCCTCAACCACGACAACCTGCCATCCTGCTTCCTTTAAATTACTACCATGATTCCAGAAAATCAGTAATGCCAGGTGGGTACTGGCTATAAAAAGCAAAATCCATGTTTACCAGTATTAAGAGAATGCCACCCAGCAAGATATACTTTACATGACAATCTGCACGTATTTATGGAAAATATCAACACATGCCAAATACCAAGAGAAAAAATTTTTAAAGTGTTACATATATAATTAGTAACATTATATAAAGGCTGGGTAAAAACTAAGCTAAGAATCAGAAAGGGGTCACAGAATTTTCCAAATAATTCACCCTATGTATGGCTCATACTGTAAAAGGAGTGGTACCCCGAAATTTCTTTTTTGCATTTTATTTTATTGTTGCTTATATTTTTAATAGTCATTGAGTCAACATTTTTAAAAAAGCAAAGTTGCTATCAGGATGGAATTGAAAAGCTTCATTTACCATTCACTTATTTATTCATTCAACAAATACGTATTGAGAGCCAATGTGTACCAGATCAGATATGAGAACTTAGCAGGAGTTAACTAGAAGAAAATACGTGTGGTAGAGGTGGGATATGGATTGGGAAGAGTTCAGTGCACAGAACTGCAAAGGCTAAGACTGCATCTGCTCCACTCTCGTGGAGGAGTTGACCAGCACAACCAAGGATCAGGAATCCAGCCGCACTGCCACCTTCCAGCTAGGGACAGAGTGTGCATTCAGTGGTGAAGACTAAGGAGCATGAGTTCAAAGGTTCCAGCTCTGCCACGTAATGTGACACTGAACAAGTAATTTCCAATGGTCAAATTCTCCCATTTAGTAAATTATGATATCAGAATCATCCTGATAGCACTGCTATGGTGATGAGTAAATGCGATCTTAGCTGGCATTGTATAAGCATTAGCTGTACTCTTCATTCATTCACTAATTCACTCAGCAAATCTCTATTTTGAACCTAGTACTTGCAGGGTCAGGGTTTAAGGTGAAGGCAAGGAAAGAAGGTGGGGGGAATGAACCACAATTTTACAGGCTCAAAGTAAAGTTAGCAATCTTTAAGAATCTTGTCATTAGCTGGGCGCAGTGGTGCACATCTGTAATCCCAGCACTCAGGAAGCTGAGGCAGGAGAATCGCTGGGAGTTCGAGGCCAGTCTGGGCTACAAAGTGAGTTCAGGGCCAGCCTGAACTGCATGGTGAGACCATGTCTCAAAAAGACAAAAAATATCCTGTCATTTAGTAACCACAACCAGTACAAGGAGAGCGATTCTTACTTGATGTGGCTTGACAATGTCTTAGACCAGCAGGTGACTCCTACTTCAAAAGAAGACTTACATCTTAAAATGAATAAATTGTACGGTATATTAATACAATAGGCTCATAAATTATCAAATGCTCTCATTTGTCCCTTTTCTTGAACACTTTCATCTTCTCTCTGTTCACAATGGTACATTATTGATTTCCCTAATGAGTAACTCAAACGAGAATGCTAATACAGTTGTGCAAAGACATATCAATGTCTCTCAGGAGGCAAAATGTGTCTGCTACAGCTATGTATAATCATACTTATAAATCTTAGAGACATAAGGTTAGCCAGGGAAATGCTACATAAAAGAACGCATTTACACATGATTCCATTCATATGAGAAACAAAGGCAGGCAAATCAATGCATTGAGAAGTCAGCAAAGTGGTTATCTTTGGAAGGGAGGGGGTTGTAATACTCAAAGAAGTGGACACCACAGGGGGCTTCTGAGGTACAAGTGACATTCTGTATGCTGGTTACATGGGTGTGTACAGTTTCTGAAATTCACTGAGTTATACATTTACATGTGTCATCAGAAGTTTTAATTAATAAAAAGTTTAAAAATTAATATATATTTTAAGTTTACAAACCCTGTTCCACTTCCAAAAGCATGGTACTTTTTAACCCTAACCCTAACCCTAACCCTACAAAAGCTCTCTTCTATACAAATGCCTTGGCCTCTAGTCTACCTGGATTTGGCAGAAGTGACTTAGAAGATATAATGCACAAGCATCTAAGTTTAGCTCTGGAGAGAATATCAGAGCTGTTTCTATCTGGAAAGGACCTCAGAATCTACCTCGCCTCATACTCGCATTCTGGAAATGAAGGAAGAGGCCAAGCATTCTCTAAGAAGATGAATTGCATGGCTATTTTGTGCACCTCTAGTCTTTCTACCAGGCCACAGTGCCAGACTCCTGAGAATTTGTCATCTTTTAAGTAAAAATTTTTAGTGCATTGGGTGGAAGGATTCAACAAATTCAGAACACTATTTATACAATTTCAGAATTTCTGCAAACTTATTCTTTGCCAACTTCTAGGGCATGACTTAATGGGATGCTCAAATTAAATTAGTATACACAGCGGCTGGTTATCATGTGCTGTGACTTGAGCCTCTCATCAAAATAGGCCATACCTGTACACTGAAGAGAGCAGGTTCTCTACTCACAAATGAGAGTAGGAAAAAGGCCAGAATGAAGAATGAGCCTAGCAATCAACTTGAAAGGATAACACAGATCAAGAACTTACTAGAGACTGGGTGCCACCAAAAAGACTGCTTTCAGTTGTTAAGTTGACTAAAGTTCTCGAGGCTAAAAACATATTTGAAAATGGAAGAAGTTGTATAGCATTTGAAATAACATAGTTTCTATTTCTTTCTACATGCACTGAGAATATCCTGCTAGGTCACCAGGTCTCTGGGGTCACTGATCAAAAGGGAAATCTGTAGATTTTGAAACCCTTATTTATCCTTTTCAGCTGTACTAGTTCCTCAACTTTTGGCATAATTTAGAGTAGTTCAATACAATATAGGTCATCAACAAAGACAATCTAAATAGCTATTAATTCTTAGCAAGATTTAAGGTGCTAAGGATGGGTAGGAAGATGGTATCAATTACAAAGAAAACTCCGGAAACCGGTAGGGTTATATGATACACAAACCATATGTCAGGGCCCTGCTTAAACCACTTCAAGAAACTGTTCTAGATGTCTTCAATTCCATTAAGCAGTACTCTCATCACATTTTTAAAATGTAAATCACCAGTAAAGCCTTTACTGAATGATAAATCTATCTTTAGATCCAGAATAATTAAAAACAAGATTTTAACGGGAGAAAATAGCTTGATACTACAGTAGGGCAAGCCTGAGTGAGTTTTTCTCTGATATCTTTGGTTAACTGGCAAAATTTGATTATGTCACAGTTGCTATGATATATGCAATGATCAACATTTTCGACCTGAGTAACAAGAAGTAAGATAATTGCTCCCCAAGCCTACTAGAAAGCCCCCTGCCTTTGAGCTATTTAGAAGTCCTCAGTGTTGGCTAACAAAAAGAAATTTTAAAAAAGAGGGTACTGAAAAGGTTCTCCATGGGGATTGAGCAAGAATAAAAAGTGGAAAAGAAATTGACTTAAACTGCTCAATTGTCAACAAAGTGGAAAAAAGAATTAGGAAATTGAGTAAAAGCAGAATTAAATTTCTATTTGAATTCTGCTTTGTCACCTTTTAAGTAAAAAATTTTAGTGCATTGGGTGGAAGGATTCAACAAATTCAGAACACTTTTATACAATCTCAGAATTTCTGCAAACTTATTCTTTGCCAACTCCTAGGGCATGACTTAATGGGATGTTCTATCAAAAACTTGATAGAAGCTGACCATATTTATGTTTTTGGTTGGATCACTGAACACAGCTGTTTGCCGTCTCACTGTTTGAATGTCCACTTTGTATGCTTTGATACTGTGATTTGAGCAACTATCTCTAAGATGATAATATGTAATCTATTAACTGGTGATTTCTTACTGTTTTTTTTTTTTTTTTTGGTAGTTCTGTATTACTTGTACCCTTACACCGCTTTGTTTTGTTTTGTGTTTTTCTCTTTTTCCTTTTAAATAAAATTTTAAAAAACTTGATAGAATAAAGATTTCAGAAAAAAAACACAAAAACTTTCTTCAGTGTTTTAATAATACGCTGGATTAGTTATTGGGACCAAATCTCCTGTGAAAGGCAATTTTAAATCAAGAATAAAATATGAGAAGCATTTCCTTGAACATGTTGAAGAGCTGACAAGATAGAAAGGAACTTCAAGGCCAAAGCTGAGGATAAAGCAGAAATCCAGGCAGGTACCTGTGAAACCACTTACACCTCTGGATATGGACCAATGAAGCAAGCTTGAGTGTCAAGTATGAAAGAGAAAAGCTCAGACATGGAGAAAAAAAAAGTATATAAGTTCTTATATACATTTAAATAAACTTCAGGGAGAGGGGGATGGAGCAGAGTCACTGGTTTTCTTTTTTCTTTCTTTCTTTTTGGTACAGGGATCAAACTCACAACCTGGTGCTTACCAGGCTAGTGCTTGAGCTACTGAGCTAAATCCCTGGCCCTCTTTTCTTTTTTAAGACAGTGTTTTGCTATCTTACTATGCTTCCCAGACTGGTCACAAACTCCTGGATTCAACTGATCTACAGGATCCAAGCTTTCAAGTAGCTGGGACTATATATGCATACTAGAATGCTTGGCTCTCATGTTGTAACTACTATAGTAGCTATTAAAGAATAGAAATAGGATATATAGCTTCCTAACCATTGGAAAGGGCACAGTGATTTTCAAAGTAATCAGTGGATCTGAAAGAAAGTGAGAAAGGGGAAAAATAATAGCAAAAACAGATTATCAGACTGGAAAAATACAAATTCTAACTATGTGCTACTTACAAGGATATAGCTACAACCTAATGATATAGAAAATTTAAAAGTAGCAAGATGAAAAAGATATACTCTGCCAACACCCATTAAAATAAAAGTAATAGGTTTATATTACTGTCAGACAGATTAAAATTGAAAAGCAAAAAGCATTGTCTATACATAAAATGGTTCACGCACAAAAGATTTAATCCAACAAGAAGACTGGACAAATTTATATATGAATACAATATAACCTCAAAATATACAAAGCTGTATTGACAGAATATAAGAAAAAAACCCAGATGCATAAGAAGAGATAATCATACACTTCTACCTGCAATTGATAAAAATCAAACGAAAAGTTATTAAGGCTACAGAATATTTGAATTACGCATTTAATTAACTTGACTGAAAGACTATATATGTAACCTTCCAATCAACAACCGCAGAGTTGCTTCAAGTACACATGGAATGCTGATGAAACCAGCCTGGCCATTGGAGAAATTTCCAAAACATTTTACAGAACTGGAGAAATGGAAAGGGACATGTTCTCCAACCATAACACAATTAAGTTGTAATAACAAAAATTAAAGTTTGAATTTATTATTTGGCAAATACCTAATGGGTCAAAGGAGAAGTTATAATGCATTTTATAAAACATTAGACCTAAACAATAATAATAACACTATGTATCAAAAATGTAAATAGAGCTAATAATAGAGTGGCATTTACATTTTAGGTGTACACGTTAGAAAAACAGAAATGCTTAAAATTAATGAATTAAAATCCTTCTCAACAAGTTAAAAAAAAGCAACAAAATGGACCCAAAGACATAGAATGATGAAAAACCAGGGGCCAAGAACATATAGCTCAGCAGCACAAGCACATGCCTCGCCAAGCACACGGTAATGAGTTTGATTGGAGGTAGTGCCCGGCCCTTCCAAAAAGTAACAAAAGCAAAAAACAATGACATAGAAAAGAGCCATAAAATAAATATTACTAATAAAGACAAAGTTCTTCCTTGAAGAAACAATTCTGGTAAAATTAAAAAACAGGACAGCAGAAAGACAGAAGCAAAGCGAGGAAAGAGAAAAAAGGAAAAAATCAACATAATGTAAGTGTTAGGAGCATAGGGCTGGAGATGTGGCTCAGGGGTAGGGCTCTTGCCTTGCATGCACAAGGCCCTGGATTTGATCCCCAGAACTACAGAAAGAAACGTTATGAGCATAAAAACAAACAGTTCTTAGCAACAGCTCTATTCAGAAATTTTGAAAAGTGGACAGAAATGAACAAATTCCTGGAAAAAAACTACAACTTAACCAAGAAGGAATCATGAAGAAACAATAAGCTTTAATAGGTAACTTTCTGCACAATAAAACTCTAGGCCCAGATTTCACCGGTGATTCAATCAAATTTTATTTAAGGAACAAGATTCCAGTCACACAAAAAACTCAAAGGAGAAAAACAAAGAGCATATTCCGACTCCTTTTTGTAAGACTAGCAAAAGTCCCATATCAAAAATCCAACAAGGAAATGTCATTACATTTTTACCAAAAAAAGTGCATATATATATATATATATATATATATATATATATATAATGGAGTACTCAGAGAAATATTTAACAGCAATTTCAAATCTTGTAAATCGAGGTAATCTGAATAAATATAGGGCCAGAAAAATTATTCTGGATTTTAGCAACAAAATTTTTTGAACATAAGGTCATCAAGAACTAAAGCCAGCAATGCTGTAGTAAGAGAAACAACATGCCATATGCCAAAAAAAGTCTTGCAGATGACAGAAACTGGGTTAACTGATAAAATCTGAATATGAGTTCTTACATGAAGTTCTGTGTATTATTTGTCACAGCACGAAACAAGTCAAAGCTGAACTACATGGCATGACTGCAATATGAAGCTTTCACATCTCCAGAAGCAAATGGAAGGAAACTTTGTTGGCTAAATATAGTGCAAAATGATTTTCTTAACAAGCCATAAGTGCTTTCAAATGCAGAAAAAAGAAGCTTTGATTGAACATCGGTATCTTGTACTCTGAGGTACTAATTTAAAGATAACCATGTACAATGTATTAACCATTGTTACTTTCCTATTATTTTGTTTTGAAATTAAAATTGTCTCTTTTTCTCCTTAAAAGGGTTTTTTCTCTTTAAAATAAAAAGTTTTATTCAATAAAACAAGTGAGTCAAATCAGATGTGAAATATTAAAATTAAATGATGCACTTAAAAATACAACTATAAAACTTTGTGAGCAGTGTTATGTTTTTCAGTTCCCCCCACATCTCCAAATTTCCCGTATCCTACCTGCATATTATACAGCTCATTACCCACATATGAATTATCCGAAGAAAGATGCGAGTTTACATCACCTGTATCCCCTCACATTTCAGGGTCTACACACACACACACACTGCTCACAGTAAATATGCTCAACACACACAAATGAGCAGAAAATCACAGAGTCTCAAGACTATGCCAGTGACCAATGAATCTAAGTAGTGACTGTAAGCACACAAGGGCAGAAAAGAGTTCTATCTTGTTTATTGCTGTCTTGAGTCTTTAGTGTAATACTTTATATATAAAAGAACATTGTTAAATATTTGTAAACTAGATGAATGAACTCAAGAAATGTTTCCAAAATGTTGGTCAGTGGCATAGTCAAATAAAAGTGACTTAAACAAACATTAAAAAACACTTTCTTTTGTGGTCAATGAATCTCAACTTGGCCTAATAACAAAAACAAGGCACCAAAACGCAATATCCTCTCTTATCTAAGTTTGGTCTCCACTTGAACCTTAACCCTATAGCAGGCAACCAGAAAGGGTATTTTAATTGATTTGGTCGAGAATCTGCTGCTGCAAAATCATTCCATGAATATGTAGAGGAGGGAAATACAAGAGGATATTCTCATTAAAAGTATCCTCGGGTGGTGATCCACACTGGGGCTGGGACACAAGGGTTAAAGGAGAAGGTTTAGATCCTTCAAGCTCATACTAGAGAGAAAGGTTGGTAGTTGAGAAAGCCTCTGCTCCCCCCACCCCTGCCCCAGTAATCTGGGTCCTTTCTTGGTTTTGTTACCATACCTCTGCCAACTCCTTCAAGTTCCAGCTTGGCCATTTACTAGCTGAGTGACTCTGCTCAAGAGTTTTAACTTTATTTATAACAATAACTTACTGCTACCTATTATAATAGCTATGTGATACTTATCTTACGGATTATAATAGAATCATCCTAATTTCACTTGTGCTATTTAGAGGATTTTGATAATTTTTATCAATGAAATTACAGAAATAACCACTCATTTATGAATCTCAAAAGAAGGTGGAAGCAATGGAGGTGGCGGTGTAGCTCAGTAGTAGAGCAGTTGCCTAACATGCGAAATGCCCTGGTTTCACCCCCAGCATCACAGAGGGAGAAAAGGAGGGTGATATGGAGGAAGGAAGAGGGATGAGACAGAAAGAGAGACAGATGGAGAGAGAGAGGGAGGGCAGGGGTGGCGAGGAAGAGCAGGCAAGCATGCAAGTCTGTAACAGCTCCTAGAGGACAGTCAAAAGCAGAGATCTGGTTGGAAGGCATATTTGAAAGCTGCATGTGTACAACACTTTAGATAAGAGAGACAATGTATCAATGGCCCACTTCAAAACAAGATAAGACCTGAAGCCAAAAAGGCAAGTCCAGAGAGCAGAAGAGGAGAAAGCAGGGAAATACAATCCCAAAGAATTCTATATAACTTAATATAATTCAAATAATCATTCTCCTCCCTCTACTTTTATTGTAGCATGTAATTTTGAAATCGGAACTCACTCCTGAAAGCCTATTAAAAAAAAACTGAGATACCAGGAAGAATGTCTGAAAGGAAAAGAGCTCCAAGTGGGAATGAGGAGTTAAGACAAAAGAAACAGAAAAGAAAAAATTTGCCATGGCGGTGGGGACTTGCAATGAAGGAGCAGGGCACGGGGCGGGGGTGCAATATGAAAGGAAAGAACTCAACTGGACATGTTCAACATTTCTACAATATTAACATATAGAAATAGCTTTACATACCTGTCAGGAATTTCAGAAAAAAAGTGGAGAAACTCTACACCCATCTGAAAATGAGAAAAGAACAGAGTCAATTAGACTAATGGGAAGTGGGCTTTATTGGTACCCAAAGACTTCAGTGTTATGGTTTGTTCAGCAGTCAAGAGCTTCTGGGTCTTTTGCTGCACATAAAGCCTTGAATTTCAGAGTTATACAAGAAATGGGCAATGCAAGACTCGCTCTTAAGAAATGTAGTATCAAGTGGAAGAACAAATCCAAAGGCAGTTTGGGGGCTGAGCTTGTTAATATTTTTAGCAGCGTGCATTATTGTTCAATTTAAGGCTTCCTCAAGGGCACTATGGGAGCATCAGACGATGGAAAAGATCAGAGCACATTTGGAGCGCGGTAATCCCTTCTAGAAACCATGATTGGTTAGGTATCTCTTCATGTATTTGTGTCTTAATAAATGACTCTGTTGATTATTAAGTTTGGCTCAAAGATGAAAAGGGAGTCAGGGGCATTGGCAATGGCATGAATGAGGGACAGATCAGATGTATGATGAGGAAAGGAATTAGGGTCTCCACTCAAAGTAGGGAGCACTACTAACAACCTGTGTTGTACCTTTTAGAATGTTCCATCATCCTTAACTTCAAAATCCAAACACTGGTACAGCTATTAGCTCAAAGATGACAGTCACTTCAGATAATGGTGTCATGTCATGTGAAATAGAAATATAATGAATTTCAAATCAAAATGTATGAGAGGAGAGTGTAGTATCATGTGGAAACCAACCGATCTACTTCTGGTAACTGTCAACAAACTGTTCAATGTTCAAAGAGGAATCAAATGAGAAGAAACAAGGGGACACAGTGAGTTTCTACCACAATACAGTCTTTAAAATCAAACGCACACACACACACACACACACACACACACACTCAGAGAGAGAGAGAGAGAGAGAGAAACTCCTTAGTAAATTAAAGCCCAATAGACCAGACATACTTCATTAAGCAATGTTAAAGAAAACCAAACCAAAAAAACGCCAACCATGTTGTCCTGTCCTAAAACAAATTACAAACACATGTCCCAGTGCCCAACATGGAATGGATATAGAACTACCAACCAAAAACCATTAAAATAGTCAAACAAAAAATCAAATTACTGTGACTTGAATACAGGAATAAATCCATCAAGTATCTATGAAGATGAAAATTTTCTATACAGGGGTTTCTAAAGATATTTTTGATGAAATTTCACAATTGCAGCATATTGCCTCTTCCAAAACTTTATTGATGACAATAAAGAACACTTAATGGTTCCTAGTAATCCAGTTTACTAACGAACAACAGGAGGCTCGTTTGGAACACTTTCAGGTGGGAAAGTAGGGCAAGCCACAATTACATTTCTTTTTCCCAGTGGATAAAAAAAGTAAAAAGGCTAATAATATCTAAAAATGGAGACCATGCAGGGAAATAAACACTTATATATATCACTGCTGGAAATGTAAACTTTGAGATTTTGAAATTTTAAGTGGGAATAGCTTTTTTAAAAAAATGTTACTTTAAAATATTGTGTTTACATGTATAGAAATTCTATTTACAGAGATGGTCACTACAGAAATTTTGACACATATTCACAAAAATAGAATCATAAATGCTGTCACTGAAGCTTTGTGCCAGATGAAGTTCAATAGATGAATAAATGATGGTACAGCTACATTATGGAATGTTACTCAGGGTCTTAAAAATGAAGTTGAGGGCTGGGGATTTAGCCCAGTGGTTCAACCACTTGCCTGGTAAGCGTGATGGCATGAGTTCGATCCCTGGTACAAAAAAAAAAAAAAAAACCCAAAACCAAAGCCAAACAAACCAAACAAAAAAATGCTGATTTAGATACACTGACAAATAGAGATTGTCAGTGTATATTAGTCAAGTGAAAAAAGCAAGTGTTTTTTTTTAAACGTAGTAATTGTTATGGTTTAAATGAAGAATGACTCCCCAAAACTCCCATGTGTTCAGAGACAGGCCTTTTGGCAGGTAACTGGAACATTAGGGTGCTATAGCTCAATATATTAGGCAGGGCCTGGTCAGAAGAGGTGGGTCACTGGAGCATGACCCAGAAAGGCACAACTCCTTCCCCTCTCTGCTTCCTGGCTACCATGATGTAAGCAGTTTTTTCCCTCCACTATAGCCCTCTGCCATGCTGTTTCTGCCCTAGAACCAGAGGAACATGGACTATAACTGTGAGCCAAAATAAACTTCTCCTCTAGGGCGTAGATGTTGGGTATTGTGTCTTGGCAATGAGAATGTGACTAAGACAATAATATATGACATGTTAAGAATCAGTCAAAACTACATATCTATATGTGTTCATTCATAATGAGATATGGATGAACGCACACACAAAGAGCCCACCCAAGCCTTCATAGTGTGATGGAGGAAAGGATGAAGCTAAATTTTTACTCTACAGAACACAGCTCTGTATTCATGTGTTACTTATATAAAGAAGGACATTTCTTCTAGCAAGGAAAGGCAGAACAGAAATTCTGTTTTGAATTGGCTTTCCAAACAGAATTCTTAAATCAAGCTCAGGGGTTGGATAAATCAGAATGCTCTCTCACTTTCTCAGTCCAATGTCATAACCCCCTTTCCCAGCTCTAAACCAATTAGAAAGGCCCAGCTAATAAGGGTACAAAGATTTCTGGTCTCAGAGCCAACAAACTGCCCAGTCATGCAACAGGAATTCACTCCAGCAAGTTACGGAAAAGAACTTCAAAAGCAATAATGTGATCATGTGTGGTAGACACTGGAACCTAAACTTAACTAATGAGCTGCCCACCCTTCAGCCTGAGGATCCTGCCTTGTCCAATCACCACCACAGCCTCCACCAGCCTTCATCTCCCACAGCAACTAAACAGGAAAGAGGACTTCATCAGCACCAGCACTTCAGTAACAAAACATAGCGACTGCCAGTGTCTGAGGTTCTTACATCATTGAAAGGAAAGGGCAAGTCACAAAAAGAACCATATCAAATTATGTAAGACATGGCACAGAAAACAGAAATTTCTCAGGGAATAACAGCAAACTCACCAATTGTTGGGATTTACTGAAACTTCCCACAGTTGTGGAGCGCCCCAAACCATGACATCAGGGAGGCTGGGAATGCACCCAACCTCTTCTATTTATCAAGCTGGTGAAAACCCAGGGTAATATCATTGTGGTCAAAAAACAAAGGCAAGCCCATTTTACAAATGGTTTGGGTGGAAAGGAAAATATCTCTGGGCACACTTACAGCCCTGTTCCAATGAAGAGAAAGCTTTCAGGGAGGCTGCATCTGAGAATCAAATCCCCCATTCTGGGTGGCTGCCCCCAGGGCCACACCTCCTGAGGGCAATCGGTAACCCACTGTGGCAGTTGCCCCACTGCCCTCTGGGATAATGTGATACTACTACAAAGGACTACCCTCCCCCCCAAAAAGTACCAAATGCCTACTGGAGCCCACAAACAGGGCCATTTTGTATGCTTCTAGGTTGTACCCTGCACAAGGGTACCTAGCCCAGGGAACAGTGGTGACTGTACTCAGAACACCAGGCTTATTGGAGGTGCCACAGGATCAGCTGCACTGACAAAGAGGCCCTAAGCGTGTGGGAAAATGGATCCCAGAAAGTTACCTCAAGAAGGTAATGGTTAAGCTGTTTCCTAAAGGATGTACAACTCCCTTACTGTGAGGAAATGGGAAAGATCATTCCAAAGAGAGGAAACAGTTTAAACCAAAACCAGAGCCAAAGAACTTAAAAAAGATAAAGAATGTCCTGGTATCCATCGCTGTTAAATTGCAGAAGACTAAAAGAGCTTTTTAAATTGGCTTCTGAACCATTTCAAAAGATAGCTTCTTGGGGGCTGGGGATTTACTTTAGCTGCATAAGCACCTTCCTTGCAACCTTGAGGTCGTGAGTTCGATCCCCGGTACAGGAAAAAAAAAACAAAACAAAAAAAAAAAAAAACATGGCTTCTTGGTCAGTTTGATGAGACTGTGTGCTGAGGTGGAATAAAGCAGGTCAGAAGTGGCTGGAAGGCCCCTCATAACTGTTGGCACCAGGCTACTTTTCTGTTGTACTGAAAGCTTTCCCTTCTCTCTTGATCTTCCCTTTTCCTACTCCTACTTTCCTGTATCCCACGGTTTCTGTCTTCTCCTTGCCTCCCCTTCTCTAGCTTGAGGCTTGCCAAGTGTACTTCACAGGCTGGAATGTCACTGGTTGCCTCTGCCCACACTGCAATTAAAGCCCACATAGAGACTCACCTTCAAATAATTCCCCAACCTCCAGCCCCCATGCTTAGGGTAAGGCAACCACTCACCCTCTATCCAACATGGCAGCACTATAAGATATTTCAACAGATCGCATCAATTCCCTTAGGGTATAAACAACTGCCACCTTAAAAATAAATGCATCTGCAAGGATTCACCAATTAATCATTTCATAAAAGCATTAATTTACTATTTCCCCAAAGAACACCTAAACTTTATGTTTGAAATATCTTATATAGCATACAAAGTATGCTTACTAGAAGTAAGTTATCTTTCATTTACATGTAAACATTTCCACAAGAGAACTTAATGTAGGTAACTATCACAACTCCAGATCAATCCCAATGGCCATGACTGACATTTTCTAATTAACTCTTAACTTTTCTTTCAACTGGATACCAACAAACAAATGAGCATTTACCTCTATTTAAACTGTTTTGATATTTTATTTTCAATGAGAAAAATATGACCCAAAAGATACATAAATGAGGAAAGAACAAGCAATTGTACCAATACAATGGGCCTCACCAAGTAACTAAGAAAAACAGATGTGAATTTTCCCTTCATTAATAAGTCTTTATGGTATATTTAAGACTTGTGTTACAATGTGTAATAGCTAGATCTTGCAAACAACCTAAATGCCCATCAACTGAGGAATGTATTAAAAAAATGTGGTGTTTTTATACAACAGAGTACTACTCAGCCATAAATAAGGATAAACTGGAGACTTTTATAGGTAAATGGATGCAACTTGAGACCATAC